CTTTCAGTATTATTGTGGTTGTAAATCAGATTTTATTCACAGTGATGTACAGTATCTATGCATGGAGGCTATACTGTGCATGTGTATAAAATGTTCTTTGCTTTAGACTGTTGTTTGGCCCTAAGATGCAGGTTCCCCCCGCCCCCCCCTTCCCCCAGAGTGGCTGGCTTTATTCCTCCATAGTGTTGGATGGCACCTGTCAATCAAAAAAAAAAGCCCACAGATTATGCAGTGATTGTTTCCAGGTATATACCAACACAGCCAGCTCCGCTGCTAGAATGTGCTGCTGCCGTGCTAATTCTGTCCACAGCTGAGGGCTGAGAGGTGGAGGCTTTAAGGTGTTGTATGCAGGGCTGGAATTACACCGTGGGTGGCTTGTTTATTTAAATCAAATCAAATCAAATCAAATTTTATTTGTATAGCGCCAAATCACAACAAAAGTCATCTCAGGACACTTTACAAAGTAAGGTCTAGACCTTACTGTTATTAATATTATTACATAGGGAAAACCCAACAAATCCCCAAATGTACCCAGATGGATGGTGGGTACAGTACAGAAGGTGTTGATGTTAGTTTCTTTTTGTTCATGACACGAGATGTTGGTCAGAACCTGTCTGCAGTTTATTTTTGTTCACTGAATGATAATGATGCTCTGTCTGACTAGTGTTAAAGTGTAAGTGTGTATCTGGAAATAAAGGAAGTGGCTATACTGTACAGTATATGTCTCAATGAAGAAAGCAAGTAGGAAGATATTTCTATGGCAGCAGCTGAGAAATTAATCTTCTTGCAGTGCTGTCCTCCAGTTTTCTACCTGATCTTTCCAGTATAAAGGATTCCAGATTTCAAGATTCCAAACACTGTGAATCATAACAGATTGAATGACAAAGTTCCCTGCCAAGACTCATACTGAGGGGTGGGGCTATTGTCCCAAGTGGATATGTGGTGCTATCAGCCTTTATTCTTCAATGACACATAAACCCCAGAGCTGTGTGCCACAGGTCAAAAAGGTGACTAATGCAACACAACATGTTTGTTGTGTTATGTTGTGGATTTACACAGGCTGAAGCTGTTTTCCATTTTCATAGGCATTCATAAAATGTTTTGTTTCATGAATTTAACATCTTTGTAACTTTAATTAAATGTGAGATATTAGATTTTGATAACTTGCATTGCACACTGTAATATATACAAACAACAGTAAAAAGATCCTCCTAATTAAAAACTAATTTTATATACCAGTTATATTGTACAATTACAATACGACTGAGACCACAGTTACAAGTATAAACCCTGCGTGTGGGTATGTTGGGTGCAATTTACTGTGTAAATCTGGTAGCACAATATGTTTCTTTAATTATGAATGTTGATCCAAAAGTAGCTCACTGTTACTAGTGTAGTTTACTGGGTCAGTAAGGGACTCCAGTATGGCCAGAGTGGTCCTCACAGCAGCAGAGCAGTCATGGACTCGTGCAGTAATGTGTGGATGAAATAGTACTGTCAGATCTGGTTCTGCCACATCATGCTCTTCACTGACCAACACAACGTTTGTTGCTTTTAACATAAATTTAATCTTAATTAATCTTATTTCTGTGTGCATGACAATATACTGTAAAATGGTGTTGGTTTGTGTGAGGACACAGCGGCGTGCAAGATGTCTACGATCCATTTTTACGAAGTACCAATTGTATTGCAAGAACTGAGTATGTTTAACAGCAGTGGTTTTCATTCACACTGGTGCAATCAAATCCAAGTGTTATGTGAGGGGATCACACACTTGTAGTTGCCACCAGAACTGTTTCCAAAGCTTTAAAGAAGCAGTCCACAGATTTAACATGTACTGTCCAGATCTCATTATGAGGAGTACCAGCCAGCCTATGAGAGCAGTTGTGTAATAAGATTAAGAAAGAGAGTGACAACATCTCCACTGACTTTATAAAGACTGCTTTTGTTACAGTGATGGTGGATCATGGGAACATCAAATTGTTCTAAATAATAGGAGCAACGCCATAAAGTTACAGTGACTTGGCTGCTATATTCTAAAGTAGGAAGTTGAAATAAATAGCAATAATTATAACTGACATTTTAAGTCAGCGGCATATTAAAACATAAAACAAAAGCTACATAATTCACATGAACTACTACCATTTTAACCCCATAATGTCACAACTCTTCTGTCGTAATGGCTCTGTATAATATCTCCTGTCACTATGGAGATGCTTTCCAAAATTAGAAAAGAATAATAATAATAGTAACCCAGATGATGTCATTATGACATCAGGGTGATGATTCGCTGTGGTGACCCCTAATGGGAACAGCTGAAAGTGACAGAAGCAGGATGTGAGAGGTGAGGGTGTCTGAGTAGCCAGTGATCACGTAGCCGGTTAGTGATGTGGTCATAAACGACCGAGACCCTTGCTGTGCCTTGAACTTGTCTGACACTTTCAGCACCGGCCCTTAATGACAGAGGTTTCTGAATCTCGTCCTGTCTTCTGTTAGACATTTTCATTGATTGATATTCATTGTAAATGACCCTTCTTCATCATCATCATGTCTGCATTCTTCTGGTTTCACCCCAGTCACATGACAAAATATCTTCAACACACACACTATGAATACTCTGGACTATACACTGCTCTATTCAAACATGGGCTCACTCAGACATTGCACAGACTTTGTGACCTGGCAAATGTTGGAGTTCTGTGATGGATTGGCGACCTGTCCAGGGTGTACCCCGCCTTCACCCGATTGCCAGCCGGGATTGGCTCCGGCCTCCCCCGTGACCCCGTTCAGGAACTAAGCGGTAGAAAATGAATGAATGAATGAAACGTTGGTGTTCTCACATGCAGCTCCTCCGGGTGATGTCTAGATCACTTCAGGGTTGCAGTGCACTTCTGAAAAGAGCTTTGGTCTGGGCTTCAGTGCCAGAACCTTTAACAGAAAGCTTCCATTGCAAACTAGAAAGACATGGGTGTTTAAAATCATGGAAGGTCAAATGAAAACATTATCAAGTTGCATTATGCAAAATATGTTTTTGGACTCATACTAGAGAATAAAAGTTAGAATATGTTGTCTTTTGCTGCTTCACATTCAACCATTAATCTGTCTCACATGTCATTGAACATTATAGAAAAGCAACAGCAAAGGTTAAATTTACTGCATCATAACTTTAATATTAAAAACATTTTTCAGCTTGTTTGAGTCATCATTAAACTTGGCTGCCATTCCCCTGCAATTCTCCTCATCCTTCTATCACTTGCCAGGGAACAGATTAGTTGCACTGTGTGAATGCAGCTGCTATAAATCCTTTGGTTATGTAACCCAAAGACAATTGATAGGAGGGGTTCAGCGGCAGTTGCTGTTTTATCAGCATGCTCCCACTAAGGCGCGCGCACACACACACACACACACATTCACCTGTTGGGACTGATTATCTGAAAGGAGAATGAGCTACACAGGGATGTTACACATCCAGCAACTATTTTTCTTAAGCTCTGATCCTCTCGTTCAGACGTTACTGCTTTGATCCCTGTGCAGCACCGCACACAGAGAGGGTTTGGGAGGGAACGTAAAAGATGAAGTTAAAGGTAGAACCAACAGAAATCTGCAGTGAAGGTAAAGTTTCTCTCGGTCTTGTTACTGGAGACAGAGATTTATCTCAGGTCAGAGAGTCTCTGCTGTACTCAGGAGATGGCACAGTTTAATTTAGCCTGGAAACCTGAACCTTGGGCTCCTCTGTCAGCTCCTCTGGGCCTAGGGCAGAGCACCAGCAGGCTGCAATCTGTGGGGTCTTTTGGGTGTGAAATGAGAAAAGACTGCATATACTGTGATACCCCATATTATTACTGAACAAACTGAGACCACAATGGAGACATTTAGTAACCTAACACAGTGATGCACTCATTGGCCTACATTCCCAAGGCAATACACTGTCAAACTGCAAACTGTCACTGTCACTCAAAACTGTGCAAACCCCAGACTTTTGAATGTTTCATACCCAAAGGTTGACATAGCATGGCATATCTGTGTGTGCATGTGTGTTTAACTGCACATCTGTATTTGTGTGTGTGTGTGAGAGAGAGAAGTCTGTCGACAAATGATGAGAGAAGTGTGTTCAGTTGCTGTTACACCACTGCAAAACTTTATGAATCCGATGAAGGACTTTGCTAATCGTCTCAAAACCCCACTTATTACTCATGTAGTGAGTGTTGGCAGTTTCAAGTTTCTACGCCACTGTGAAAAGAAGAGAGTGTACGATATGTGACACTCTGCTTCTGTCTTTGTAGAGAGTAACATAACCTCTGTCGCTGCCTCCTGGAAACACCTGAAACATGGCTCAGTAAGTCGTTTTTAATTTTTCTTCAAATAACATAACTTTAAAAATTTTACATGGACAAGTCAATGTTTAAAAGGGGAAAATCACATTCTTACAGTGCAAAGGTCTTAGACAACCATTAGTTTTGTTATATATGATGACTATATTCTGTACATGTATTTATCAAAATACAGTGAGAAAATATAGGCAATATGTACACAGTATTAAAAAAACATGAAAATATCACAAAAAAATCAGCAAACAAACTGAATACTCGAGGTGTAGTATTAAAGGTGTTCTAAAAAATATGAAAAATCTGGAAAGGTCAAGAGCAAAAACAGAAATGGAAGACCAAGGAAAGTCTGTAGTTTATTTTTGTTCCCAACTGTGCAAACCCCAGACTTTTGAATGTTTCATACCCAAAGGTTGACATAGCATGGCATATCTGTGTGTGCATGTGTGTTTAAGTGCACATCTGTATTTGTGTGTGTGTGTGAGAGAGAGAAGTCTGTCGACAAATGATGAGAGAAGTGTGTTCAGTTGCTGTTACACCACTGCAAAACTTTATGAATCCGATGAAGGACTTTGCTAATCGTCTCAAAACCCCACTTATTACTCATGTAGTGAGTGTTGGCAGTTTCAAGTTTCTACGCCACTGTGAAAAGAAGAGAGTGTACGATATGTGACACTCTGCTTCTGTCTTTGTAGAGAGTAACATAACCTCTGTCGCTGCCTCCTGGAAACACCTGAAACATGGCTCAGTAAGTCTGACTGGACACACGCACACGCACACACACACACACACAGAGAAAACCAAAAAACACAGGCTGATATAATCATTTCACTGTTAATATATTGGAACTGTTGACTGTGTAGCATCCAGAGGGTGCAGAAGAAGACCAGCAGCGTGTCTCTCACCATCTCCTCCTCCTCCTCCTCCTCTCGGGAGCTCTCCTCCTGCCCCTCCAGCTACTCCTCTTCCTCCACTTTCCTCACTCAGAGACAGTCCAGCCTGGTGCAGCAGCTGTGCATCAGCCCTCAGAGGGTAATTACATCAAACTGTAAATGATCACCTCACTTGATTGACATGTTAGTGTATATTAATTCTGCATACAAACCTCTTTTTAAATGTGCAAAGGGTACTTGTTTTCCCTGTAATGTTGCAGACACACGAAACTTTCACACACAATAAGTAGAATAACTAACAAAAGAAAGTCATTTATCTGTTTTCAGATTCAAAGACCCACATACAATCAACAGTATTCAGGGAATGGAGTGGCTGCTACATTTGTTAAGGTATAATATACTGACATATTTGTACAGTACAAAACAGAATGATACTGGAGTGGAAGTTGGGAAAACTTATTATTTCTGTATGAATCTATTCTGATATCAGTCATCTCTGTTCTTCCTCTTGTCTCTGTCCTTGTCTGGTCACCTGTTACATCATCATCATCATCCTCCTACCCTAGTGTCTCCATGACGTGTCCACAGTGAAGGGGCAGTTGGTGGTCCTGGAGTGCAGACTAAGGGGAATTCCACCCCTGCAGGTCATGTGGTACAGAGAGGATGAACAAATACTGGACTCTGATGATTTTAGGATACTACGCAAGAGTAAGTGTGTGTTTGTGCGTGTGTTGGGTTCATATGACACAGGTATTTTACTTCGGAGACACAGCTGAAGAATAAGGTATCATAACGTCACTGTAAGTGAATACCTCACCCAAACTAGAATAAAGCTGTGTCCCCGTCAGTAACACCTGAGGTTTGTGACCGACTTACTATTTTAAAGGTCTACTGCTTTTTCCTCATCTGATCGGTTCAGTACCAACACATTGTCCAATTTATGGATTTAAGAATCTGAAAGAGCTTGAGCATTGTATAGGACACCTCACTAAACTTAAGTGATGTATCCATGAAAACAAAAACTCATTCATCTAATACAAAAATACACCACACCTTGAAGCTGCACATTTCAGATGTATAGCAGCTTGGATTTACAGCATCTCTCTTAATTTATAAGCACAGCAGCTAAAATGGTTTAAATGTAAAACTGTGTTTTTATTCCAGAGGATACAGATTCTTTTTCTTTTTTTGTTTTTCCAGAGGCCAGTACTGCATCAGTACCAGGTGAGTACAGAATAATGGCTTTATACTAAGTGTTCCTAATGTGGAGGTGGGCCCAAAATAAATCTGGGGAATCACAAGGCAAAATAAGAAAAGAAAGACAATCTTTGATTTAAAATTTTTAAAAATATGTAATTATATATATTTTTATGAAGTGCGAGAACCCCTTCAGGTTTTTAAAGTTTCTTCAAATAACATAACTTTAAAAATTTTACATGGACAAGTCAATGTTTAAAAGGGGAAAATCACATTCTTACAGTGCAAAGGTCTTAGACAACCATTAGTTTTGTTATATATGATGACTATATTCTGTACATGTATTTATCAAAATACAGTGAGAAAATATAGGCAATATGTACACAGTATTAAAAAAACATGAAAATATCACAAAAAAATCAGCAAACAAACTGAATACTCGAGGTGTAGTATTAAAGGTGTTCTAAAAAATATGAAAAATCTGGAAAGGTCAAGAGCAAAAACAGAAATGGAAGACCAAGGAAAGTCTGTAGTTTATTTTTGTTCCCTGAAAATCTGATGAGAAGTTTCTCAGAGTTTCTTTTTTGAGAGAGCAGAGAAAACCCAGCAAGGACCTGGCTCCGCATCTGGCAGCTTCATCTGGATGCCATGTCGATCCTTCTGCAGTCCAAAGAGGCTTGATCAGGAAGGGCCTTTGTGGAAGGACAGCAGCCAGGAAATCACTTTTACAGAAGGGGACAGGGAGAAAGTCTGAGATATGCAAAAGCTCACAAGAGCTCACTCAAGATCAGAGTGAAGATCAGTGGAAAATAGTCTTGTGGAATGATGAATCGACATTTGAAATGTTCGGGTCCAATCATCAAGAGTATGTGAAAAGAAGAGTTGGACAGAGGTCAAGGTCAAAGGTCAAAGCGTTTATTTGTCATATGCACAGTTAGGAAACACGTTTCCCTGTTCAATGAAATTCTTACTTTGCCGTCCACATGAATGCCACAAAATACAAATGAAATATAAAGTAGATAAATAAGTAACACAAAATCTAAGGCACTTTAAGCAGCAAATGCAGCAATATAATAAAAATATATAAGAATATAATAAGAGAGTGTATGCTGCAGGGGAGCAGCATGTGCAGCAGAAGTGGAAGAATGAGTGTAGCAGCCTCCAGTGAAACATGGCGGAGGGTCCGTCTTGGTTTCAAGACTTCAACAGTCTCCCCAAAAGATTTCAAGCTGTGCTATGTCCAAAGGGAGGTCACACTAAATACTGACTCTGGACTGTAGAAGTCATTTTGTTCTGAAAATGTTGTGTTTTTATGCCCGACGCATTATGTTTCACTCACTGATGAAGGCTATGCTGACATTTGTTGCAACATGGACCTTTCATTATAGACGAATTAGTCAAGTTTATGTTTTCAAATTAACGGGCTTCATTTGGCTTTCATTTTTCATTTCATTTTATTTATTTATTTCAAGCAATAGTGACATATAACAAGGCAATAAAAGCATTCAATCCCTACAAGGTATAGTCCCTTACATTAACAACATAAATCAATCCATTGCTCAAAATGAAGTGGGAAGAAGTCAAACTTATTTAAACCCACCCCGGTCAGTTACAGAAGAACATAGTGGCTGCTTCCTTAATTATTAATGCTGACCAAGCTTCCAATTTCCATATATACACATGTGAAAGAAAAACAAAAAAACAAAACAATAAATCTTGGAAACACGCCATATATTACCACTGGTATCAATAACAGTCCTGCCAACAATGGTAATCAGGACACCTACCAGGTAAAATAATACAGCCTATAAATACATCTTCAGATGATTAAGCCCCATCCTCCGTGTACTGTGACAGAACCTTCTGTTCATCAAGTGCTTTAAATTGGTGAATATTTTGACATTGTTTGTGTTCAAGTCCCAAAATATTCCATAGTTTAACCCCACATACAGACACACAGAAACTCCTCCTAGTAGTTATTACCATTGGTAATGAAAAGTTCCCATAGCCCGTCAAACTATACAATTGCTCTCGCTGCATGAATAACTTTTGTATGTTAGCAGGTAATAGGTTGTGAAATGCTTTAAATAAAAGTTGTGCCGTGTTGATTTTCACAAGGTCTTGTATTTTTAATAACTTGGATTTGAGAAAAAGTGGATTTGTGTGTTCAAGATATTCAGCCATGGACATGACTTGTTGTTCCTTTTAGTGATATTGACCAGAGATGTACTCATTTTGATTGGTTGTGGGGGGTTTCATGCATGAAGGGACAAAACAAACCCTGGTGGATCTAACTGACTTTTATTTTCCCACTGATTTTAGGAATTTAAGAATTCCCACACCTTTACTGTAGTTTGTTGCCTCTTGTGTGTGGCAAACTATCCAAAGCCTTTCTGACCCTACAAGCTAACATACATTCAAACAGAGTACGTCAGTCAGCGGGGATGAGTACTCTACTCTGCTCAGTGTGTTTTGACAATGAATGCTGTTGTGTTAACCTTTACAGAGGAGCTGTGCACTCTGGTGATCACCGAGGCCTTTCCAGAAGACTCTGGCCTGTTTAAATGTGTGGCTCTCAATGACTTCGGCACAGTCTCCTGCTCAGCCACGCTGAAGGTTTACAATGGTGACTTGTCCGTTTATAGATTACAGTAATTCATCCATTATCAAGTCAATAAAAATTGCCGGCCTGGTCTTTAGTCAGTCATCTCCTGCTGTGACCCATCTGTGCAGACCTGGAGGAGCAGCTGGAGACTGAGGCTCTTCGTCAGCATCTAGAAGTTTCTCTCAAACAGGAAGAGGAGACAGTGTCACAGCAGGGCAGAACTAGCAGTGAGGACTTTACCTCTGTGCTGCCTGACCCCTTGAGCCTCCTGCCTTGTGAGTGGCCTGACAGCACTCTGGAAGATCACATCCCTACTGCAGAGTGAGTACATGGTACAGACACATTGATCTCTTTCAGTGTCTACAGTATAAGTAACACTGACCTCAGTGTTTCTGAGTATTTTGAAACCAGAGATGTACTTCTTTGTTATGGTGCTGTCTACTGTGTCTTATTTTGAAGCAAAAAACGGTGACGCACCCTAATTTTTCTTTTACTCCTTTCTCATATGGAGAAATGGCCTCTGACCCTTGGTTCTTTTTAGTTACCTACAACACACCAAAACTGCTTCTACGATTTACAGTGATGTTCTTATTATAAATTACAAATCACTAAAAAATGACCATATGATTTAGATTTATTGACTTAATTATATTTAAAGGGGGCACACATCTGAGCGTTAGAAAGAGGCGCATTTATTAATTGATTGATTAGTTAATGCAATCATTCATTCATTTCACCTCCACGAAGGAGGAAGTAATGTTTTCACCAATGTTTATTTGTTGGTTGGTTTGTTCAAAGCATAACTGAAATAGTTAAGTGTGGATGTGGATAAAAAGTTTTTGGAAGCTAGGGTATGGTCCACCTCTGATTAGATTCTGGTTTATGTCCAGATCATCATACAGATCCAGGAATTCTTTAAAGGATTCTTCACCTTTGAGACAGAGGGCCAATTTAAATACTTTTACTTCTAATTCCATACATAATGTTTACAATGCTTGGACAAAAATTGCATAATAACATCCACATGAGGTCTACCACACACCAAAATATAATCTGGATCCAAGTAATACTGTGGATGTGGTGATCCAGAATGTTCACATTTATAGGACTCATGGAAAACTCACTACTGTGACACAAGAAATGTGGCTACAAACCTGCAAGTAATATCAAATTCTAGCTGAAACTTTGCTGATTCAGTCAACACATCTGACATATATTCAAAAGTTATTGAGTTGGATCCTGAAGAAACCACCAATAATAATATACGTGTGATTCCAAATGCCACGGCTAGTTTTCATGGTCAAGGAATAAAATTATGAGGCTCAAACTATCATGGGAATATTGCTTTTAGGTGTGATGCCATTATGGGGGACAGTGATCTGCCTTGGCGAAGGTTTGTGCTCTGAGTGAGGTATAGTTATTATTATATTGTGGGTAGTTTATTTCCATTGTAGTTCCGCGTTGTACCCAGACGGTGTCGCTGTTTCACAAAAGTTACATTTGTAGAGTAAGCCGTGTTTCATGATCACTTTTTCTTGAAATACTCGTTAGCTAAAATAAAACAAAAATAGCATATATAAGAAAGGTGTAGGCCACTCGGAGCTGTGTGCGCACTGAACCAGTGAAGGTGAACACAGACGTCGTCATGGAAACGATGCTGGGCTGGACCCGCGCGCTCCTGCCTTTCCACGTCCTCCTCGTGAGCGCGGTGGCACCTGTTGCAGTCCAGCCTCCGTCTTTACATCAGAGTTTGGGTTGTCCTTCGTGCGGAGAAAGTTAAATTTCAGTCAGCTGAGCTGACTGAGACTAATGACCGCGGTGTAGAAACGGTCACCGAGGTAAGAAAATGTCCTCTGTCTCTTCGCACATGTGTGCGGTTACGTTTTCGGGAACTTTTAACCTGATGTAGGCTATTTCTACATTGACGGTAATGTTTAAATTTGTTTACTTTTTTTGATTATATCCTGGAAACCTAATATTCTTTGTCCTCCTTAAAATGTCAACCTATGTTTGGAGCACTTGGAAAGTGGCTTTTAGTCTATTTTGGGAGTTTGTGTCATCTGGTTGGTGCTGTTTGAGACAGGACCGGGGGAATATCCGTCAGATAATTTAATTAAATTCGTCAGCGACGTTATTCCGGGTTCAAAGAGAGACTTATGGTGAAGGTTACACATTACAAATGTGCTGTATAATTTTGAGAATACTCTGTTTGAAAGTGTAGCAGACAAATCCAGTTTTTAGTTTGTTTTGATATGATGTGGCACAAAAGGCACATAACCGTATTGCTTGTCCTACACAATTCCACACACGTGGTTTATGTGACTTAACTGTGCTATCGAATTGTTTGCTATCTGGCACACAGCAGGTATTTTAGCCCAGTGGTACCTCAGAGTGGGCTATGAGCTCATCTCTAAAGTAAAATACGGGCTGTGTTGTCCTTCAGACTTAACCCTGGTGCATTCACGTACAGTCAGTATAACAGGAAACGACATCTCTAGTTAGACACTATGTTGTAAATACAACATTGTTTAACACTTTTGGATAATGCGCCACAAGTAAATTGAATAACCGGTGAGGACTGCAACACAGTATATATTCAAAAGTATACCATCATAAGTGTAGCCTAGTAAACTGTAATAAAGTACCAGAGATGCTGTGTAGTCAGAATGTAGAGTAATATTTTATCTCTTAAACTTGAGTATCTCTGGTGTTTGATACAGTTAAGTAAGTGTGACTTGATATATCAGTTAGTCTTCAGATTCAGTGAGTGTTTCATGGTGTAAAATATGTTTGGCTGAGTGTAATGTGTCTACGCCATATCTGTGTCCAGGGCCGTGATCTCATCTGTAATGTGACATGCAGACACACCAGCAGTTGTTAAGAAATGGCTTGGCAGCAGTCTGGCTTTTAAGGTTCCCTGGCCAACTTCAAGTTTGTCTGATTTATTTTATTGATTTCATTATTTGGTGAGGGACAGGAGCTGGATTATCCGTAATGTGTGAGCTTTTGTTGGTTTGGACTTTTCCCCTACAATAAAATAACAGTCTTGGGTAAGTGATGTCACCATATTCTGCTTATGGTAAAAAAAAAGTAGGTAGTAGGTTTAAAAAAAAAATAAAATAAAAACTTCCAACTCTGAAAATAGTTAGGTTTTTTTTTTCTTTTCTTTTAGACATTTTGTTTGGCATTTGGCACATCTATGAGTCATTTTGTTAAGTGTTTTTGTGTACTTTTCAGTGTAAAATCATTCTTCCTTTCATAATGAATTTACTTTACTACTGTCTTCCTACCACTGATTGGCTGTAGCCAAAACATGGTGCAGCATTCAAAATTATGCCACTGTTGAATTGAGGCTGAGTTGAAAGGTATATTCAGTTTATATTGGGTTGTTCAGCATTGGTCTAACACATTAAGTCACTTAATTTCTCCAGCTTTCACTAGAATTAATTTTCTCTGTCGTTGTTTAGATACGTAGTTGGCAAATGAATTAATACACAAATATAACTGTGGACTCAAAATAAAAAATTGTTCCAGTCCAGCCCAAAGCGTCCAGCATGAATGATGTTTATATATTATCAAATTAGCGGTTGAGCCTGCATTCTGTTAAGCACTGACAAACTTGCAGCTTAGCATGCTCCTGTGTGTGTGTGTGTGTGTGTGTGGGTGTGTGTGGGTGGGTGTGTGTACACATCTTTCTGTGGTTGTGTGGACAAATTTTAGTTCAGTATCATTGATGTGAGGACATTTTTGCTGCTTCTTACAACTTCTAAGACCTGTTTGAAAGTTGTGAATTGGTTTTAGGGCTCAGGTTAGAACTGGGTTTGGTTTAGGATATGGGTTGAGGTGAGGTATTTAGTTGTGATGGTTAAATTTAGGGTAAGGTGTTAGGAAATGCATTATGTCAATGAGTGTCCTCACAACTATACTAAGCAAACACGTGTGTGTTTTGACAGGGCAGGGTCACCAGTGGAGTGTCTGCACCTGCCATATGATGTCCGAATTCCAAGACCAATATAGCTTTGCCCACTTAATCACACAGAAATTGGCACACATGGGCCCGTGTGCTGGCACACACGTTACTTTCACATTATAGCATTTAAAGTGTAGAATTGCAGTATGCGGATCTACTCTTCAACACACTAAAGATGCACTCACTAATTCGCTCATTGCATGGTTTAGACACACACTCTGGCAGGCTAATATCCAGTCACACATACCTATACAGTACATGTGCATTATAGAATATGGCCATTTGTAGAGACACAAAACATGACCTTCATTGAGTTTTTTTTTTTTTAAAGATATGCCAGTGTTAGTTTATTTAATTGTTAGCATTAGTGATGACCATTAAAAACAAATTTCAGCACTCTGGTGTCAGTGTATGTTAGATTTACTGATAACAAAAACCCTAATCATTACTGCAGGTGTGACACCACCAGGACCCCGGTGTTCTGCATGCCAGTGCACAGAGACATTGTTACAGTTATGAACACCTGTGCCCTTTCTCCTGTGACAATGTCAAAATGTCTCACTTACATCCTGACCAGTCCATAGAACAGTGTCATTTGACTAAGCGGTATTAGCTTATATTGGTGTGTATGCTGACTTTTACATTTTAGCATGGAAATCCCATAACTATGTTTCAGGTAATGCTGGAACTATTGCTGCTATGTAGTCCACCAAAGATTAGGGACAGGTTTTATTTAATGTTCCAGTCGCATCTTTACACTTCTTTAGGAAGTTTTTGTTAAAAAAAAAAATACTCATCAAAAATATGGTTTTTGGTTGTTTTTTTTGTATCTGCCTCCAAAGAATACAGTAAAGGTCAGATTGCAACCACAAAGCAGGTCTTTGATTCCCATTGTTCTGTTGGTTAGTGTAAAAGTTTGACCCTGTTCCATGGAAGAACCAGTGGATGTAACCACTAAGTGTCCACTTGCAAAACACTTCTCTCAATATTTCTTAACTGTGAAACGTAGAATAAATTTTTTGCACATATCGGATCTCAGAGATTCAACACCTTTCAGTGTAAGTAGGGTAGACGTGATTATCCATCAGTTCAAAGTTTCAGAGTGTCGGTCAGCTGACACTGGTTGGCCAAAATTGACTTGTGGTAGGTAGGTAGGACTTTATTGATCCCACAGTGGGGAAATTCCTGTGTTCCAGCAGCAAGAGAGGGTAAGAACAAGCACCACACACATATCTTGAGAAACAAATTCCAAAGTACCTAAAACCAGACAATATAGTATTTGAGAGACAATCGGAACAAAAATGATCCTCCCACAATTAATCCCTGAGAACAAATTAAAAATACCTTAGAACAAGATATAGTATTCGAGAGAGACCAAGAAATCGGACAAGAATATTACACTCATAATTAATCCCGCAATGGGGGAAATACCTGTATTTCAGCCATGAGGATCTCTGAAAAACTACTCAAATACCTAAAACAAGACAATATAAAGCATTCGAGAGAAATCAAGAACAAGATTTTTTTACATATGTGCATATTTACAATGGATTTTTACCCCCAGGATTTGAGATTGTGCCTTCAGGAGAGAAATGTTAAAAAACTGTGTGAGAGAGCGAGCGAACAGAGAGACTGCCATTGTCGGTATGCTTCGGTGTAGCCCCGACTATTTGTGGTAGTCATGGGAACAAAATTCTTTCCTAGTAGAAACGTAGAGGACGAGCAGGAAGAAAACTACTGAGTGGGTTGAAATGGGAGCAGAACCATTCATATCTGTTACTCTCATTAGACAGTCCCATGGGTACCACAGCAGCCGCATTGGAACATATAATCTGTAGTTAAGGATATTTATAATCGTGTGCACTAGTCATCGTAATGATCTTGATGGTAAAAATCTGAGCCATTCGTAATATGTACAGGCTGGATCACAAAGTTGTCCACTGAAATTACATCACGATGCTGTGACCCGCCTCAGCTGGTTCAGCATCAGTGCTGGGTGAGTGTGGTGCCAACATGGCAACCACTGAAAAATAATGATACAATGAATATTTTCTCTTTTTTTTTTTTTTTTTTTTTTTTTTTTTTAGTTTGATCAAAAGTCCATGCATCATGTTTTTGTCCTCTTACACAATCAACTTTTCCCCAGCTGGATGTTTGCACTCCTTCACAACAACTGTTTAGCCTACAGTTTTCCGGTTTGATTTTGAAACTCGCTGGACTCTGTTTGGTGTTTAGAAATGTGGGATTATGGGCGATCAACTTTTTGCTCCCTGGGGGCTTTTTTTAAAGTGTTTGGCAACCAAACCCAGTGCATTTTTGTTGTTCAGACATGGAGCTCAGTAGCTAGCTGGCACGCTCTGTGTGAATATTCAATCAGATGTCGCCACAAAAATTGTTTAATGGCACTAATGTCTGTAAAAAGCTCAAATAGGGAATTTAAAGTTAGTAGCTCTGAGAAGGACAGTCGGGATACAACTTGGTCAGCTTCTACATTGATTTTCTTTTTTTTTTTTAAACATCAGTAATATTTCTTGGTAGAGCTGAGACTAGGTTTGTAGTGCCTGCAGATCAGGGTGTCATCATGATGGCTTCAGGAACTCTGTAGGCGGTTTTCATCACAGCTGTTTCTGCATCTCGCCCATCAGTGTCCCTGACTCCCCGTCGGATGGCCTCTCATCTTAGTACCTGTAGTTTTTATGAATATATTCATGTCTTTGCTAACACAGCTGTTTACCCATCAGTTTTCCAGAGCTTCAGCCGGCCAGTCCCTCCTGTGGAGAACCCTTCAATCAAGGTGAGGAGGAGAGTGCTCTGAGCACAGAGGACCAAAGGTCATCAGAAGTCCTGGTCCGAGCTTATACGCCCAGCCCTCCCCCTCCGCCCTCACCGCCAGCACCAGCACAAGTCAAAGAGAACGCATCCAGGCTGTTCACACCGAGCAAGCTCAGTTTCACTGTAAGAACACTTCTTTCACTGTTCTGTGATATCTGAGAAGTTTGGGGGTTTTTTGCTTGTTATTCATATTTAACTGTTTTGTACAGTTTTGATAACTTTGGAAAGTTCAATATTAATAGAAAATTAATATTTACAGGGACTGAAGGGAGAAAACACTTAATAGATACATGCTAACTCTATGCAGCCAAGACAGTGAATGTATGCAGTACACTGTATCTGTCACCTTTACCCTCTCTTGCCTGTACTTGGGCGTATGTTGAAGGTATATAGCCAAAATAATATTTTTTTTTATTTGAATCCTGGCTTTTTTTCCTTTTATTTACACTTTAAACAGCAGGAACGTAAGAAACTGTTTACAAAAACTAAGAACGCCCCTAACACTGATTGTCTTGGCCCCACTTTAAATAATCTGTTGAATCTGTTTTCTAATCTAATAACATTTGAAATTCATTAAACATGTCAGTTAGCAAATGGAAATGTGTAAAGGTTTCTGAGTGTCTCCTCTTTATTATACTTAAAAATGGTATAATTCTACATTAGTTTTGTTTTTTGTCTTCTTCTTCCTTCCAGGCCCCCCAGTCAGGAGGCAACAACATGAACCTGTCAGACCTGCCTACCTTTACTTCCAGCACTTTCCCTCCCAGTGCCTTTAACTACGAGCGACCGAGGCATTTTATTCAATCCCAGCCGGCCTTCCAGGCACCCAGCTATGAAAGTGTACTGAGGGAGGCCCAGGAGAACCAGAACAATTCCCAGCAGAAGCTCAGCAGTTCCCAGAATAGTCCAAAGTTTACAGAGACCCAGAGTCAAACTAAAACCATGTCTACACAAAGCCAGCCAGTGTCCAAGTCTTTGTCTCAGACCCAGTTACAGTTTCAGTCTCTGAGCCTCGGTCAGAACCAGACCCAAGCTAACGGCACCAAGTTCGCCTGCTCATCTGGTCTCAGCTCTCCAGTTTTCACCCCAGCCTCCTCTGCTGCGCTTCCTCTATCTTCCACTCCCCCCTCTCTCAGTCCCTCTGCCACCTCCACCACCACCTCCTCTCGTTTCCCAGAATCCTCATCCTCCCTCACCCGCACTACCATGCGTTCCACCATCACTCTCACCCCCAGGGTCCCTAGTGCCACCGGCCTTGGCAGTGCCACCCTGCCAGCCAACCAGGACACCCTGTCAGCACCTGCTGCTTACCTCTGCTCCGTGCTGCCCTCCCTGTCCTCCTCCAAACTGTCTCCGAACTCCCACACTCCACCCCTCTCTACCTCCCCCTCCCCACTCGACCCTTACAGCCCAGTCCTCCCCATAAGGGCCTCTTCCTCCCTCCCCCAGCAACCTCTCCCAGTGTCCCCTACTCTCCCTTGCTCCCCTCTTTCTCCCTCCTCTTCTTCTTCCTCCTCCCTCCCACAGCCCGACACTCCTAGCAGTCCGAACAGAGCACCGCCCACCGTGGTCTCCCTGCCTGCCAGCTACAAGGGGACATCTAACACGTGAGTCACAGTACGCATCAATTTGACATACACGTGTTCACAGAAAAGCCAAAATGTGCCACACGACCAAAGCAACATGTGTATATACTTAACATGGCATTATGAACAAGGCTATGTGGAGAAGCCTTTCCCTAAACACAGTCAGCTGAGATGTTACTAATTTATCTTTGACAGTGATTTAACATTAATTGGATCCACCATAATGGTCCACCATTACTTACCATTTGAGATTTAAAATCAACTCTACTTTCTGCACACTTGAGTTCCACCTGGTGATTGAGGAGAACTTTTATAAAGACACAAGGTCTCTGAGAAAATGTTTGCTTTTTAAAAATTATTGTGGCGGTTTCCAGATGTTTTTCCACAGGTGGACAACTACACTCTAACCATACTGTTGTTTACCCTTAAAGTATTTTTCTGAATCAACGAGGAAGCGGAGGCCGGGGGCTCGGACGTGGACTCGTCCATCACCCAAGCTGAAGTCACCGAGGTAGTTGAGAGGCTTCTCGGTGGCAAGGCACCAGGGGTGGATGAGATCCGCCCTGAGTACCTCAAGTCTCTGGATGTTGTGGGGCTGTCTTGGCTGACACGCCTCTGCAATGTCGCATGGCAGTTGGGGACAGTGCCTCTGGACTGGCAGACTGGGGTGGTGGTCCCTCTTTTCAAAAAGGGGGACCAGAGGGTGTGTT